TCACACAAATCACAGTGTGGGTTGTATCAAAGAACGAATCAAATTGCCTGTTAGAAAACAAGATGGTATCTACATTAATCTGGAGACATGTCAGATTGCTGTAGGTTGTTCAGTCAAACATTTTATGGCTTACTGTTTAGTTATCTTACCATTGGCCATGTAACATTGTATGTACAGCATAAATTCTCAGTTTCTTTCTTGCTGTACATCGCAACCGAAAAAACTTGTCAAATTAACCCAATCATTACTGTAAACAGCTCCATAAATGCTCCTATCTCCGAGACTTCACAAAAAATAACTTTTGCACGCCTTGCGTGCCTATGTTTGAAATGAAGTGCCAACAATAAAGCGGAAACAGTTCTTGAATTGTTTCTGGATGCCGTTAAGAGAGACGGAAAATTTGGCCTTCGAGAGTGCGAGTAGATCATGGTGTTGAAAACGTTTGTGTGTACAATACAGTGGTACAGGTTAGAGCAGAGGATAGGGGCAGCTCCACTGCAGGGCCATCAACACACAACCAACTAATTGAAAGATTGTGGAGGGATGTTTTCCGTTGTGTTTCCCACTTGTACCTTTACACTTTTTATAGTACGGAATTGCTGACATCCTTGACACTGATAATCCAGTGCATCTTTTCACCGTACACTTAGTTTTTCCACCAAGGATAACCCAAGCTCTTTTAAACAAATATGTTAGTTACATAAAAATTGGCTAATTTACATCCACAAAAGCGGTAACAGTGGAATCTAAATTTTCCGAGTCTCATGTGTCTAGGTTAAATAACAAAACAAATAACAGAACATAACAAATAACAGAAACAATGCCCCTAGCCCTAAAAGAATAACAGCTGCTATCAATGAAGAGAATTACAAGCTTACGAGAGCTGCTACACCTCTGATTTTTTCCGTGTCCCTTGTGTCTAGGTTGTAGCATTGCCTCATTGACCTAAGCAGACTAATGGCTTGATCAAGAACTTCGGCGTGCGCTTCTGCAACTTCTGAATCAAAATTCTCAAAAAAGTATTTCCGTTTTATCCAAGATGTCAGCAAGAAACTTAGGAAACTCAACTCAACAGATCTAGTTCTTCTTTGCCCGCCATGTTTCCAGTGCTCTCTAGTGCTCAGTTACTCTCATTCCTGTTGGCCGCGCTTGGCCCAGGAAGATTGAACAAAACCGGAAACAGGATTGAATATAAAATTTTAAGGTTTGGATTGAATCAATATTCGAGGTATTGGATTGAATCAATATTCCAGGTATTGGATTAAATCAATAATCAAGGTATTGGATTGAATCAATATTCCAGGTATTGGTTTGAATCAATATTCGAGGTATTGGATTGAATCAATATTCCAGGTGTTGGATTGAATCAATATTCCAGGTATTGGATTGAATTATGAAAATTAAGAGATTGAATTGAACCAAAAATTATATTTACGATTGGAGTGAATGCCTTTTTACATCTTTAAATGAAACCATTATTTAAAGGATTAAACATGTATTGCAAGGATTACATTTTGCTACAAACGGTTTGCCATACCCCACCTAATCCCCCTTCCTGCAAGGCTAATTGATTAATTGAAATTAATTAATTAAACAAACATTAAACTTAACACCTTATGACGTTAGTACCTTAGCGAACAGCAGCCCCCCTAAACCATCCCCATAGTGCACTCTGCACTAAAAATGGAGTGAAAACTATGAGCTTTCACATACTGGTGTGAAAAGGCTTGCCAGATTTACTTACTGGCTGCTTGTCATAGATCAAAGAACTAGCTAATATATCAATTTTACTCTTAGAAATCACTAACGCAGAAAGAGACAAAGCCCGAAAAAAATACGAATCACAAAGAGAGATGGTGAAGGAGACTGTAGCATTTGGTCGCCATGTGGATGGTCCTCCAAAGAAAGTGTATACTCCTCCACCTTCAGGGACATTTGAGAGTTTTGGTTTTGACAGTGGTAGGCGTACTTTTTATCCTGAAACTCTGTATGCCTGTACTCAGACAGTACCGGCACGATTGAGTAGGCAACTGCGTGGTCAGAATAGGGAGATTTCTACATCAAAAACCCTGGGTTTTTTTAATTTGAAATCTGAATCCAGGTATTTCTGTGGGAAGTTTTTTCAATAAGTTGGACAATTTGATACAACAAGCTGAACCCCCTCTCTACATTGGAAAGGTGAACTTCACGCATTAAAACTGTAACTGCACATCAGAAGGTATGAGATTAATTCTACTACTAGGGTATCTAAAAGATAGTACTGCTGCGGCACATTCTGTTGATAGTGACATATTTAACGCAGTAATTCATCTATCTGCGTGTTCCAAGATTTACTATAACCTTTGTTTCTTAACTGAAGTATTGTCAAATCGTGGTGTCTAACTTAAAATCTGCCCTTGAATGCATCAATTCTTAAAGTAGTGTCAAATCGTGGTGTGTAACTTAAAATCTGTCCCTGTATGCATCAACTTCATGCATGATGACGCATCGATG